GGGGGACCTCCTGGTGGGACCTGGAAATCTCCCAGAATTCCAACCGGTTAGCGGCTCTCCAGAGTCTCAGACACACGTCCTACACATCACCTGTTTCTTAATCTTTTCAACGGGGGATGGCGGGGATCGAACCTGGGGCTTCCTGCATGCCAAGCAGAGGCTCTTCCACTGAGCCACGGCCGCTCCCCAGATCATGGACTTTGTCAGGCTGTACATACCTTGTCCAGGAACCAACCCGCAGAGCCCCCCTTGTTGTTGTGGCCAATGTTGATCTTTCTGAGCCGTCCCATGTTGGGAGCATCCAGGGTGAACTTGTCTTCTTGCGCTCGCTCAAAGTTGTCGTTGTCGTTGTCCAGCTTCCTCTCGCCTGCGTGGAATGAGAAGCAAAGGAATGAGCAAGCCTAGAATGAAAAAACCCCAGGTGCAAAAACTTAAAAATGGGGGTGCCATAAAGGCTAACCCAATTGGTCCCAGCCAGTGTTCCCTCTAAGCTGAGTCAGTGTGGGCCAGCTCACAGTTTTTTAGCCTCTGGCTCACACATTTTTGTCTTCGCTCAGGAAGGAGGGCTCCAGAGCAGTGTTCCCTCTAAGCTTAGCTAGTGTGAGCCAACTCAGTTTTTTAGCTGCCGGCTAGGGCTGCCAACCCCCCCGGTAGGGCGGAATTCCCCCGCCCCGGAGGCCCGTCACCCGACGCGGGGGAATCCGGGCCCGGGGGGAACTCCGCCCCATTGAGTTCCTGCTGGGCTTTTTCTACAAAAAGAGCCCTGGCTCCAGAGCAGACTAACTTATGCAGCGAAACCGCTCGCTCACCCCTTTCATGCCAGCAGCTAGAATCTTTGCTCACAGGACTCCACCGCTTAGAGGGAGCATCGCTCCAGAGCAGACTAATTGATGCGGCAGCCAAATCGCTGGCTCACAACTTTAACGCCAGCGGCTCAGAAACGTGAAGTTTTGCTCACCAAGACTCCACAGCTTAGAGGGAGCATGGATCCCAGCAAAGGTAACAAAATTTGTGGCAGGGTAGGAGCTTTCATGAGTCACTGCTCACTTCTTCAGATACTCTATGTTAGCCTGAGCCTCCTCTCGCCCTGTGAAGGACGGTACCCCGGCCAGGTTAGGGCCAAAGTTGGCAAAGGGCAAGTCTAACCCTCTCGGTGTGCAAAGCCAACTTGCCCGGACATGTGCTCAGGACCGTCTCTCTGAATCATTCAGCCATCAAGCTCAGACACAGCAGTCACGTATCTGTCATCGTGAAAGGGTGATGTCTTAATTTTATCATCTCAAAGGTGTCAGCAAACCTGCACTGCAGCTCTACGTCTCACAATCAAACCGCCGGACGTTACCCCTCGGTACTGGGACCACCCCGGCCACAGTCTATTGTCGCTATTCTCCTTTTGATAGCCCAGCCATTAATGGAGCCAAGACTCCGCAATGGCCCAGCACCTTGCTGACAAAGACTTCCCTTCCCAATCCTGCACTTCTTTTGAGAGCCAGTTTGGTATGGTGGTTAAGAAGAAGAGATTCGATTTATACCCCACCCTTCACTACCCAAAGGAATCTCAGAGCGGCTCACAAACTCCTTTCCCTTCCCCTCCCCACAACAGACACCCTGTGAGGTAGGTGGGACTGAGAGAGCTCTGACAGAAATGGCTCTTTTTCAAGGACAGCTCTTATCAGAACTACGGCTTGCCCAAGGTCATCCAGCAGCTGCAAGTGGAGGAGTGGGGAATCAAACTCGGTTCTCCCAGATTAGAGTCCGCGCACTTAACCACTACCACCAAACTGGCTCACGAGAAGAAGCAGAGGAGAAGGAGGAAGAGGAGGAGGAGGAGGAGAGTGGATTTATATCCCGCCCTTCACTCGGAATCTCAGAGCGGCTTACAAACTCCTTTCCCTTCCCCTCCCCACAAGAGACACCCTGTGAGGTAGGTGGGGCTGAGAGAGCTCTTGACAGAAACTGCTTTTTTTTCAAGAACAGCTGTGCCAGAACTGTGGCTTGCCCAAGGTCATCCAGCAGCTGCAAGTGGAGGAGTGGGGAATCAAACCCGGTTCTCCCAGATTAGAGTCCGTGCACTTAACCACTACCACCAAACTGGCTCCTATGCGCATGCATGAATTTTGGAAAATATTTGGGCAGTGTGCTCCGTGGCTGGGGCGCTGCGATAATGTGTATGCTTTACCACGGGATGTCTCCGTGGGTAACCCACAGCAGGGTGTGCTGTGTGGTTGATATGCCCCACAAAACTTTAAACCGGCTCAATTAGAGGTGGCACCATATCACGCTAAGCCGCCAGTGTGGCCACGGCTTGAATGTCATCGATTTCGTAGCATGCAACTGAATCGTAAAGCCGTATGCTTATAAAGAATGGAACTGGGATTAGAAACAATCCAAGAAGTGACACACCTTTCCCAAAATTACATTTCCCAATATTGTGGGGGGTTTTACAGGTGACTTATGTTGATAGAAGTTCACCTGTGAACTGTGAAGGACACGGTTTACGAAGGAATATCAAGGAATTCCTCACCCCTGTTGTTTCAGCCTCCAGATCTCTTTTCAATTTTTACTTCTCCTTACGCAAACGGGACCCAGGAGCAATGCTTCCTCTAAGCTAAGGAGTCTTGTGAGCAGAAATTCTACTTTGCGAGCTACCCAGCATTAAAGTTGTGAGCAAGCAATTTGGCTACTGCATAAACTAGTTTGCTCTCTTCCTGAGCTGAGGCAAAAATGTGTGAGCCGGAGGCTAAAAAACTGTGAGCTAGCTCACACTAACTCAGCTTAGAGGGAACACTGCCCAGGAGTCTTTATTTTCATCCAGTTTTCTTTTTTTTCATTGCGCCACATTTTCTTCATTACATGTACATGTTTTTCAACATTAATTGTGTGCTAATTACATAGTATACATATATTTGTTGGAGTGAGTGACTCAGCATTCCTGGACATTGGGAGGAGAAGGCAGTACATGTCTCTAAGGGTGTCTAGGTGTTATCTCCTTGAATGGGATGCCTCCCTTTGTCTTAACCTGGGAGCTGCCCTCTGACCCCTTCTCCCTTTCTCTTCCTCCTCTCACTCCCTGCACATGCCCTTCCATGGAGACACATGTCTCTCTCTGCAGGTCTCTCCTGGAGAGATGATGCCCTCATTCTCCCACACACATGATGCCGGACAGGCTGGCCATTCGTGAGAGGGATGCAGGTCTCTCCTGCAGAGACAATGCTCTCATTCTTAACCTGGGAGCTGCCCTCTGACCCCTTCTCCCTTTCTCTTCCTTCTCTCACTCTCTGCACATGGCCTTCCATGGAGACACATGTCTCTCTCTGCAGGTCTCTCCTGTAGAGACAATGCTCTCATTCTTAACCTGGGAGTTGCCCTCTGACCCCTTCTCCCTTTCTCTTCCTCCTCTCACTCCCTGCACATGGCCTTCCATGGAGACACATGTCTCTCTCTGCAGGTCTCTCCTGTAGAGACAATGCTCTCATTCTTAACCTGGGAGTTGCCCTCTGACCCCTTCTCCCTTTCTCTTCCTCCTCTCACTCCCTGCACATGGCCTTCCATGGAGACACATGTCTCTCTCTGCAGGTCTCTCCTGTAGAGACAATGCTCTCATTC